TCATGTTCAAACTTGAAACACATCATATCCCCTCAAATCAACTCCTGAAAATTAATCTCATACTTGCTAGTGAATTGCTTAAGGCTGCTGTTGCCTACAGTCCTAGTGAGAAGTCGTGGCCATTGGGAGCCATCCAGTCGGGAATAAGAACAATTACTCACCTATGACATTGGCTAAGGTTAGCGCTAAAATCGCCCATTGGTAGAAGTTAGAACTCATGGGCTAGTCTCAGCTGCTGAATGGTCTGCGACCTTGATTTGTTACCGGAGGGGTCTGGGCTCGAACAATAGAGGTGTTTGCATGCTGACGATAAGTCTCACACTGGGACAAGTACTCTCTAGTTCTCAGTGGTTCTCTAACTGATATCAGCCCGTGGTCAGATAAAAAATCTACTGTTTTCACTTTTAACTGAACTAATTCTTACTGAATTATCTTTTTGTCTCATCAACTGTCATTTTTCGCGAAAGAAAGACACTTAAATCCCGTTAAAGTTGTTCATGTCATATTGCATGTAGACAGAAAAATTTTGTGAAAAACCATGGGAAGTAGAAAATTTACACTTCTCCTTGTTGCTATTTTTTCATTGACGTTTCACACCTGTCAATAATAAATCTAGTTCATGCAGATATGTGTGAAATGTCGACAAAGAAACATGTTTCTGCATTTTTTTAATTCTGTCTCTTCATCATATAGCTTATTGATCGTATTTGAAAATATGGCAAAACTATTCATTCAGACATCTATAAAACACAAAATAATTGAGCAAAGAATATTCCTTTCAATAAATTACTCTTTTGGCTTTACATTTATACATATATTTATGTACATAGAATATTCTAGATGACTAGTCAATACCACTATTAGTGTTTTTTAAATAATATCCATTTGTGAAGTAAGATCAATGGAATTACAGTTCATTAAAGATGCTTAAATTATAATAATAACAAAGATATAGTAGCAAATAGAATATCAACTAAAATTAGGAGAATTATACAAAATTCAGGATCATTTCAACCTAGATGGCCAAGGTAAGGATAATGTCTGAACTAACTTCTTTTGGATGCACAAATTAGGCTTGTTAATATGGATCCCAACAACCTCAGCAATATTTAGCAGTGGAACTCTTAAGGCGAAACTGAGATTTGTTGGTACGCGGTAAATGACCCTGAAAGCCTGGTTAACGTCAATCTTGTGTTGTCTATCCACAAGATGAGATAGAATAGCGCTGCGAATAGATTTTGTTTGTTCTTTGCTTAACCACACAGGGTGATATTCAGAAATTTGACAAGAAACACGCCTAATTGGACGGCCTATGTAACTGGCTTCACAGGAGTAGTTAAATTGGTACATACACATGGAAGAAACGAAATGGTGTGATAATCGAAATTTTAGTACTATTCTAAGTGTCATAAGCATTGTCTGAATAACTACATATATATCACCCATTGAATTCGATTCCAGTGACTGGATGATACCTGTGCTTGCGTCGTAAATAGGAGAATTTAGTTTCAATCCCTGGTTTGGTCATCTATGCATACTTGCATTCCTTTGCATTACTGGGTGAACTTGGGGGTTAAGGCTTTGGAGTTTTAGTAGCACTGGTTAAGAATGATAGCGTCATACCCAGAATTCTCTCTAGGTGAGCTTTAAAGGTTCATCTATGCGGGATGGAACTCCAGACCACATTCATGGTTGCCTTACATTTAACCGCTAAATCACAGACGCGTTGAGACATCGTAAATCCAATTAAGCAAGATAAGATATTACTTTTTGACAGGCTATCTGGTTACAATTAGAAGAGTCGTATGGTTACAGATTTGCAGAATATGTGATGCGAATTAGTTTTAGTTTATTCGCTTATATTTACTCCCGTAGTTAAGGTTCAATATTCTTTTTCACTTTTCTTGAAGCAAAAATCACTCCTACATATACCAAACAAGACATTAAGTTGCATCATCCTAGACGGGTTATAAGGTGATTCCAGTTACAAAATCTCTTCAAAAGGGAACTGGATTCATGAAACGCAGATAGTGCGTGGATTGGATTTTGATGTTAGCTATCATTATCAAACGGCTTCGATAGCGTCGACAGAGAAGTAGTTTGGAAACCGCTTCAACACTAAGGATTGCCGAAGCCCTCAAAAACTACATGATCATGTTACGTGCTGAATGATTCACTAATAAAAGTTCAATGAAGCCTCTGAAATGAAGACATGATGATATTTCTGATTTTTTGAACTGGACGTGCAATGATGAGCCACTGTTGGAGCGACAAATAAAACTAGGAGAACTGAACTTCTTGGATGAATTATGTATCATTATTATTACTATTTCCTTTAGTTCTTACAGGGACATACGGTTTCAGTCACACGTTTTCATTGCGTTTGGTTCTCTGCCAACGTTTACAGCTGGCTCCATGTGTGCCCACATGCTTTCATCTCGTCTTCACATCACCTCCTCCATGTCACTCTCACACTGACTACCAACTCGCTGCTTATCGTTCAGGTTCCACTTGAGGGATGGTCTGGTGTGTGATGTTACTCACTTGATGGTCTCCTCATAGTATGGCCAACCCACCTCCATTTCTTCCTGCTTATTTGTTGCACAGTCGCGTCTTGACGGATTGATTCGTTCATTGCCAGAGATCCTTTCTTGTTGCTGATCTATTCTGGACATCTGATCTTGAGTGGTATTGAGAGAAGACCGCTGTTGATGGAGTTCTGAAGTTTGTTCGAATTGCCATTCGTGATGCTACACCAAGTCTCTAATCCGTATAATAGCACTGAATTCTCATTGGAGCTGCAAATCTGGATCTTATTCTCGTTTTCATGCTGAGTGCTGTTGATCTTCACACAGACTTAAGAGTAGTGAAAACTTGCCTTGCTTCCCCGATCCTCGCTCTGATATCCTCATTAGTTCCGCCTGCTTGTAGTTGAAACATTGATTCCCAGGTAGGCAGGTAGGTAGGTGAAGGAGGTTGCTTATTTTGGATTTCTCCTATTTATTTTGACTGTTGTATGTTGTCCTTGCTGCTGCTCTTGGCCAGTAATCTTAATCACCTCTGTCTTCTATGTGTTCACCTGAAGTCCTATCTTCTCTGGGTTCTTCTTATGCCAACTTGTTGCTTTTCACTTCCATATCTTCCAGTTTGTGGGAAATCAGACATTTATCATCAGCGAAGTCCAAATCCTCCAAGGTTTTTGTGTGGGTCCATTTTATGCCTGTTTCCTAGTTGCCCGCTGTTTGTCTGTGGCACTATCCAGTTTGCTGCAATCAGGAAAATCATTGTTGATACTAAGCAGCCAGCTTGTCCTACTTGCATCTTCATTCAGAAGGATTTCGTGGGTTTCCCGTTTTGGATTACGTGGCATACTGTTGGATGAGATGTATAATTGTTGGCGGTACCCTTTGGTAGTGGCGAATTAATTGCCAAATCACCTCTCGATCAAAGTTGTCTGCTGAAGGCCTTTACAAAGTCGATGAATTTGAGTGAGCTAGGAAGGTGACTGCCATTCCAAGCTTTTTTCAATGATGATCCGTAGTGTTGCGATTTGATCAATGCATGACGTGTTCCTCAGAAAGCCAACCTGCTCCGGTCGGAGTTTTTCCTCCAGGGAGTGTTTGATTCTCTCTAGGATGATGCGGCTTAGAATTTTGCTTGGGATGGATATGTATAAATACATATATATGTTTAGACAAATGTCTCTGCTAAGTGAAATCATTAAGCGAAAACAAGAACTCATTCTAGGTTTTGTATGAAAACCTACAGTGAGGTGCAAGTGCATTGAAAGTAACTATTCAAGGCTAAATATACATCAAAATTACTACGTCTACTGAGATACATAAATGAAAAGTTAATACAGGATATAATGGCATCTAAAAATTTACATATATATATACATATGTAATCACAAAGAAAGTTATACAAAGTTAGTGATGTGAAAGCCTTTAGTTTTAATATAAAAATGTAGAATACGGAAATTTTCTCAAGGATTTGGATATAGATTTTTTCACCAATCAACACTATTTATAAATTATTGAGAACCACATAGCACTGAACAGCTGTTTCATTCTGTTAAGGGACTCTTCACTAGTGTTCACCCACGATCCCACCACGGATACCACCAGAGAGGAGACAGCTTTCTATGACTAATCGATTTTCAATGATCTCTAACCTGGGTTGGTTCATGACGAAATCTGGATTGAAATCAGTTCAAACACCCTACAAAAACACATAATTGGAATGTTAATCTCAAGCTCACTGATCGCGATAGGGTGGATGTGCTGAAAATGTATTGAGAAGTGGTAGTCATTGGGCGTCAAACATGTTATGCTGAAGTCTACAGTCATCAGAGGTAGTTGGTAAGGGTATTGGTTTATCACTAATTCACAGAAATTAGAATTTATGAGTCACTGAATTTCTACCCAAGTGGCTGAATGACCAACCACCTTCATCTGGTAGCCTGAAGGTCCCGTTTTCGATCCCTGTTAAGTTGGCAGTTTCGTACTGCTGACGAGTACCAAACTGGAACGGGACAGATGTTTAGTGCTGCCTGTTGTTTAGTAATCTCTAGCTTGTGTTTCTCGTGACGCAATCCACATTGTAATAAACTTATAACACGGTAACTTTGTTTCCATGTTTTCACCAAGGTCTTTTTCAGATGTATCACTTTCTTCTCTTATCAGAAGTATAAGGAACTTGCCATGATATTCACTGTGCGTTGGTGGCACACTAGTTAGGAAGATCGCCGACCATACACATGGTCTGGGGCTCGATGCGTGGCCGATGCACACCTGATATCAAATTGTTGGCCTGCCACATTTGGAATACCGATAACACATGCTGAAAATTCCATACCTGTACCAAAATGCTGTGTGGAATCAAGCTATAAAAAATTTTAAAAAATTAAATTAAAATATCCTGGATAAGAACGATAGTGTTAATTTTCACTTATATACACTGATGTGAAATCCTAAAATTGATTTATGCCTCATACTTTTATGAGCAAAGTTTCATGTCGCCTGTACGATAGATGTTTTCTCAGACAACTTACCAGTAATTATATTGTTGAGGTATTAACTAAGATCAATATATTCTAGATTTTGTGGATGATTTGTGTTTGATTTATCATGTACTGTAGGATTTAAAAATGAAAATCAGTAATTTGTCACAAGAGATAGGTGAATATGGAAAAAAAAGATCTGATAATGGCTCACGACCAGCAGTAACAAATGGTCATTCATCACCAATGGAAAAATATGAAGGAAGTCATCCCTCTCACTCATAAGGCATAAGCAGGTTACTTTCAGACACATGCAGCACAGATGAAGACTTCAAATCCAGCTAGTATCACATTACCAAAGCAAGGAACCAGATCCGAATTTCCAACACAAATGTCAGATTCAGGCTTCTTAAAAGTTCAAAGACGTGGAGCACGTTTTACCGAAAGCATTTTCAACAGGCCGTTGAGTTCTAATGATATTGATAAAAATAACAACAAGGACATCTGAGAACACAGGTAAATATGGCTATATTTGACATACCCTGAGAAGATATTCATGTTACATTACACAACAGGTTCTCGAGTGGGATGTGGACGATAAACAAGAACTATGGCATGGGTTTGACGGTGACATGGAAGAGATTATATCAGTTGGAAGTGATATCTTGTGAGCACTCAGGGAGACAGATGAAAATGACGGTAAAGCGCCAAATGCAATCGAAATGTGTTGTCAAAACCATATATCACACTCTGCAAGTTTTCAGTGGCTTAATTCGGCTAAATCCATAATAGATAAGATTATTTCAAATATCATACAGGGATGATGCGGTATTAATAACTGGGTGATAAGGTTTCGAGCATGAATTATTGCAAATAACCTCATATCAATTTAGTCACAACACAGTTGCTACGATTTCTTCTAGGTTATTTAACTTAGCAGGGTGAATCATTCTATGTCTAGCTTAATTAATAACAATAATCCGCTTTAATACAAAAGCAGTACCTATCATACAGAATTAAATTTTCAGCATTTGTCACAACACTGCATATAATTTACTCGAAATATAAATGAAATTAACCACAGGAATTTGTCCACATTTACGGTAGGAATAAATTCAAAAATGTGCAAAGTACAAAATGAGAATAATAATAAATAATAATAAATTTTTATGTTTTAATAATCTAACTGACCCAATTTGGCCTATGTAATTTCCCTCACAGTCATTAGGCGGTATTTGGTAAATCATTTTATGTTTCTTAATTGGACCTATTGGGTCCTTAGGCAGACAAAGTTTATCTCTGAGAGAGTTGGTGGGTTAGTTTAAGTCTCACCCTCATTCCGGCCTCATTGATAAATCTACATAAGACTTCTGACGTTCCTTCGTTGCACGTCAGTACAACAGATTTTGTCATTTCTAAATTATTTTCGTTATTTTCACTATTTTCATTACCAATCTTAACTTTTCTATGGTTCTTCATACATTTGTGATTAAATCCTGGCGGATAGTTATTCACTAGTAATATTTCCCTTATTTATTCAATTTTATCATTTAAGTCTTCTGGCTTACTAGTTAGGCACCTGGTCCGATAATATAGACATTTAACTAAAGCTACATTTTCCGATTCGAGATGGGCAATAATTTATGCCGGAAACGTCATCAAGTTATGAACATTGGATCATTGTGTAATATTTGAAATAAAATTGTCTAATGTGCAATTACTGGCGGGTCACAAAGAATATTTCTAACAGGTTGCAGACCTTTATCAACAACTGTCTTCGCTCTATACTGAAGATCAGATGGCCGGAAAAAATCACCAACAAGAAACTATGGGAACAAACAAAACAAGAACCAATCGCTCAACAAATATGCAGGAGAAAGTGGAAATGGTTTGGACACTCGCTGAGGAGGCCGCTGAGTGACATCGCTCGTCAGGCCATAGCTCGAGTGGAACCCGAAAGGGAAGCGGCGAGTGGGACGTCGAAGGGTGACATGGAGGAGATCGTGTGAAGAGGGGTTGAAACAGTATCGACTAACATGGATGCAAGTGAAAAGTTCAGCAGAAGACAGAAGCAAGTGGAGGCGTGCAGTTGAAGCCCTATGTTTCACTAGGAACCCAAGGGAACAATAAATAGTAATATAATGTGCAATTACACTCTACCCTAGTGTCCGATTGCTACCCTTACAATAATTAATTCGGTTAGCATTAGTGAGAGCATATTCGCGTTAATATAACTGTGAAACTCTCACGTCAGGATTGCAGACAGACTTCAAGAAACTAAGAAGAAGACTGAGTTCTACTCAAAATAAAGTCATGTGATTTTGTAGACATGTATCAGGGGAACCACCTGTACGAATTTATTTTTCTTTTCCGATAAGACAACTCGCCTACTTCTAAGTCTTTTTCCACTTTATTTAATTTCAGGTAAAAGCTGTGGATGATGATGCCGGTGAAAATGGAACCATCCTCTATTTTATTCATTCTGGTAATGATGCAAATTACTTTCGTTTGAATCCAAATAACGGCATAATGAATATACATAGAAGTATTCCATACTCTGCAATAGGTGATCATCCACTGAGGATTGAAGCAAGAGACTGTGGAAAACCATATCGTTTCACTTTAGCTGAACTCATTATTAAAATCGATGAATCTGAATCGAAAGCTCATCTCACTGGAAGGCTGTATCATGCAGACAATGGAGTGGGCAGTGGTTTCAATTTTGGCCTAAGTAGGAATAAACTCAATCTGTACATTATTATAGCCATTGTGGCGGCAGCTTGTATAATATCAACAATACTTCTCTTTTTATTCCTCACATTATTACGTCATGTCAAAGGTAGTCGGAATTATCTAAATGTAAGTAATTCAACAAATAAAGCAGTCAGGAAATCCTACAGCAATAATTCTATGGATTCTACACAATGGCGTCTGAAATCAGCAGTTTCTGATTCCTCAAAAGTTCAAAGTAATGAAGGTGAGTTGTTTTCGTATTTATAAATAAACTTTTTTCGTAAAGGCTGCTTATTGCCCCATATATTTTTGCAACTGTTAGCTGCAACTTCATTGATATATTCATTTTTGCTTGTTGTTTCTTTCACTTTGTGAAATAAATGAGTTCTGCTAGGTAAAAAACCTGGTACAAATGGTCTGATGGTTGACATCATATTGCACTGAAAATTCATAGGTAGAATGCTCGCCAGCCAATCATGATGTCAGTGTTCGATTCCCTGTTGAATGCCATCTTAACCTAACTTAGCCGACAGTAAGCCTAGTTAGAAAGGAAGATCAGCAAACAACTTCGTCATATAAAAAAAATAACACCGCTGTTATTGAAGCCTCAGTGATAAAGACTGAAGCCCAATGTTTTACTAGGATCACAAAGGAATGTAAAAAAACTCAAGGCTGATTTGAGAGTCTTAAAAAATTCTGTAATCAGACGGTCTAGCAAAACCTTGGGTTTTTAATGCCTTAATCCTGTTATGGGTTACTTATTAGACCCGACTACATTATTTTTGCACCTAATTATTCAGGGTAAAATGGACGGTTATCGGTGTCCTCACTACTGGAGCTGTACACTTCAGACATTTGAAGGTGCCATTTTTCTACCGCTAGTAGACATTATCAAGTATTGGTTCGTAGGATTTTGGTCGTTTGGAGGTTTCATGAAGAAATGGGAATCCAGAGAATACTGGATAACCGTTCCATCCTAGTTCAAGGCTGTTTAGTAGTACGTACTTCCCGGGATCGAACCTAGTAACCTCTGGTTAAAAGACGAACATAAATGAACATCTGCTGTATTACATCACTATTGGCTTGTACTAGTTTGCTCGCTAAAGAAGTCTCAGGAATAAGTAGGTATTGAAGCGAAGTCCGTCCATGTATTTCACCGCTGAGATCTTTCAACATCCAAGTAATGCTGTAAGATTCAGAAAACTTAGAATTCATTTCACTTCTCATGGTCATGATGCCTTGATAGCTAACTGATTTCTACAAGTTTGTTGTAGCGTAGATGGGTAATACAAGTGAATAATTCTGAATTATCATGCAAATTTTAGAAAATTCTGTTCTTTTTAGATAAATGCGTTTTTGATTTCAAATCTTTAAATATTTCCATTGTTAATAATAAAGTAAGAGATATAAGCAAGAACTATTGCTTTCAATTCGATTTTCTTCAGACTTTACTCTAATTTACATAGATTTATGTAGAAAAATGTAACCAGTAGCGGTGAGTTTGCGGATCAAACAATAATCTGTTAGATGTCTTGGACGTCAGTAGTGACGATGACTACAATGATAACAAAATAAAGATAATAAGACTTATGCAGGTGAAGATAAGAATAGTGAAAATAGTAATATGTGCATATGTAGACATTTCAGTAAGTAAGTTGGGCCAAATCTCAAAGGTTACGCATTACTGAAGGGGAAGTGGACAGATGATGAGAGTTTCACTAAATATAATAAAAGTACGAAGGAAAAAACGAGAGTAAGAAAGTGTGATGAAGGGTTAATTAGAATTTACCTAGGCTTAGGGAAAGACAAAGGTAGAACAAACTTCACTTATATGCGACGACTAGATTTGTTTTCTCTCTAATTTCCATAGCGTCGGCTGTGTGCAAAAGGCGAATTCAAATTCCTTTCGAAAGACTCGATGGAATGCGACATAACTTTGAAGGCACTTCTTCTGTTCATATGGTGACAGCTATTATAAATCAATTGAGATAAAACAGATCTCCTTACAGATTTTACTTAGCCTTTTCTGAACCATGTAGGATGATACTCAGTAATATATTTTTTGAGCTGTCTAGTTGTTCGCCTTATATAACTTCCCCTACAGGAGCATCTAAACTAGAGGCAAAGCTGAGCAGCTTGTCTTCCACTTTGTCTTCTGTATGAGTCCTGGATAACCTAAAAGTAATCTATCTAATAAGATACCAGCTATACGTCGTATGCATATTATCGTTCTCTTAATTTGTTTAACAACCCCATAAACTGTCAGATTCTAAACTATGTCTAATTGAAAATGTTTTCGTTATACATTTTAGGTGTCCAGTCACTATGCAATATTTCGTATCAAATCCCACTCGAAGATAGTACAAGTACTGGTTTGGAATCAGTGAGTCATATGAATGAAAGTGTATATATCTTACCTGTTCAAGTCGAGAACCCTTCTGACTATTATCCATCTATTAAGGCATCTTATCATTACTGTCCATATGTAAATCAAACCATCCTAAATGATGCCAACCATGATGTTTTACAACCAGTGCGCACAATCGATTCGAAGATGATTTCTAAAGAAGATTCGGTACCCACCAATATCAACTACCCATATGGTATTTACTCAAATCATTTCGATAATGGAGTATCGAATATAAACGACAATGGATCGCATACAGGGTTTATGAATGACCAGTCTTCAGTACCATGTACACTTAAGACATTTGCAAAGTTGAATGGTGATTCACAAAATGTAGGTTCTCTTCTGATAAATATTTTTAATTCCTCAGATAAAACATTTTTGTAATTCAAGTGTTGGTTTGTAGGGATTTGATTGGTTACAGGATTTTCATCATGAGCTGACATTAGTTAGAGAACCATTGGAAAACCTGGGAGTAATTATTAGTGTTCTCTGATCTCGTTAGTTTTTATTTTCATCCTACCATATATAAAAAACATCTCTGAAATAACAGCTAGAATATTGAAACTGTTTGAAATAGATATAGCACACAAGCCAGTCAAAACACTTAATTCGATATTGTGCAAACCGAAAGATCCAACAGAAAAAGAGGATAAAATTAATTCCATTTACAAAATAAATTCCATGTATGAACTGTAACAGACATTACAACGGTCAAAGTAAGCGTCGCCTTCAAATCAGAATCCAGGTACACAAATCAGCTGTGAAAAGACACGATATGTATTCTTTCATATAGAAGCTTGTAGATAATGATGGACATCAATTTGATTGGGACAATGTAGATATTTTAAGCAGAGGAAACACCAAAAGTACCAGGAGCCCGGTACTCAAACGATAATGCAATTAACATACACGTTAATATAAACCAAATATACCAACTAATAAAAAATAAATCATGTGGCGAGAAAGTTTAAAATCCAAGTCAATAAAAATGATCAATGCACGTGAAAAGATGGTTACCGAGAGACGCAATTCAATCACTCATGGAAAATTTAAATCAGTTCACTTTATGCTAAAATTTACGCTGAAGATGTTGTCCAGAAGGACGAAGAAAGCTCCGCAACTAAACCAACCAGATCAGAGAGCACTACTGATAGCGAATCATCCACCTGAGCTACAAATCTTCTCTATTATTTCAAGAACACTTTTTGCTAATTTACATTGCTTTAGAACAATATTGGGTGGATTCGGAAGTGAAAAATGCTCATACAAGGGGTTGACATTATCTTTAACTTTGATTTGACCATTACGTCTTACTATAGTGACTTGATAGCATAATTTGCGCGTTATAAACTGTATACATTACGAAGCCTCTTAAAGGTACAATGGTGTACCGAGCCATCAGCTTCAAAAGTGGGCAAACATCTTTTGCCATCCCTTGACACAAATCTTTAATGCATCATTCAACAGAAATACAGTAGGTCTTGCTTGGAAGGAAATAAAGGTGATGCCTCTACCAAAATCATCTTCCGGATCAGGTTTAAAGTCTAGGCCAGTAGCCTTCATGCCTCCATTTTTGAAAGCTGTGAAGAAACTTCTCTTGCATATTCTTGAGTCTTCTTTAAAACCTTTCACTGACCCAAAGTAGTTTGCTTATAAATGCAGTAGAAGTACTTAAGATGCTGCCACCGTACTCCAAGTCTGGATAAGGGTGAAGCGTGTGTTCGAGCCACGTTTTTAGACTACTCTACTGCTTTTGGTTCTATTCCTAGGACGGTTTTCCTAAGCAAGCTAATTTCAGCAAACAGTGAGTTTTAGGTCACAAGATAGCTACCTTCCTAATTTTTGGGTAGAAATCAACATTCTGTTTTAAATGGAAAGAGCCCCACTTCTTTGCTTACGGAAACTGGTATGTCTGAATGTGGTGTACTTTCTCAATTTATTTCATTTTGAATGACCTACCGTATTCTTCCAAAGCCAATTTCATTATATGTGCTGATGATCTGACAACTTTTGTCGCAGTAGTTTCTGCATTGAATGATTCTAATGTCAATAGATTCTTATCCGAGGTAAAGCAATTGTTTCACTCAAGTGATCTTAAATCCATCTTAGTGTCATACTATTGATTTCGGTTTTGGATGCGTATAAGACTTTTGTGGACTGGTTCACTCCCATGGTTTTTAGAATATTGGCGGCATTGTGATAGGGATTAAATCGAATATCTTTTGTCTCGTCACCAGTTTCTCTTCGAATCTCTGTTGGTCGTTTCATATGTTATCGATTTCTAAAAGGATCTTCCGCTTAACATTCTACATGAGAAATTTGAGACTTTCCGGCATAACTCAACATCACCTCTTTACCTACAACTTATTAGTTCATGTATTCTGCTCATTCTTATTTATTGTGTGCCCTTAATCTTCCCAAGACTCCTCAAAGAGATAATATCAAAATAAGTAGAGCACTGGGGCATTAAGTAAGGTTATTTGTGTGCTTGTGAATCGACACAGTGATATTGTTGTCAATAGGCACTTTAGGTTTTGCAAGCAGTTAGCTAAAGCTATCTTGTCTGATACCAAGCATCCTCTTTATTCGCAAATGCTTCGTTGTATCTCTTCGAAAAGGTCAGAAGAAATTTCATTAAAATTTATGGTTGTACGCTAAACATAAATATTCAAACGTATCATATTTAACACGGTTTTTGTGTGAAGAGATAAATATCAGCAGTGAACTTGCCAACCAGATTACTTTGATTTTTTGTATTTCTTTGCTTTCCCAGTGGAACATAGAGCTTCAAGCTAGAGCTTCCAAGCTTCGGTAGCAGTGGTGTTTATTTTTACGGGATGGGGTTGCCAGCCTCATGCCTAACTTTCCCTCTTCACTAGTTTTATTACTGGTTTAGCGAGGTAAACGAGTGGGTCGGCTGTGGATCGACCCCCAAATCACCTGCGTAGTTGGCAGGTATTCTACCGCTGTGAAATTGATTGGACACTAATAACTAGTGTGATATGTCTAGTCCTTGGTTTGGTGGAGACTGAATTCTGTCAGTCAGGTTTGCAATGTGGTCACCATTCTAGGTAGCTCATCATCACTGTGCACATTGATTTGATATCGTGACTTTTTCAGGTTGCATGCAATTGACAAAGTCCACCGACATAAAATGACAGCGTGCTAGTATGACGAATTTGCTGTTCTCGTTTTGTTTGACAAAGTTAGTTGTTCAGACGTCTGCTTGTCTAAATAAGGATTACATGGCCTTCCACACAATAGTGAAGGTAAGTTGTGTGATCTACAACTGATGTGAAAATTTTATTCCACATTTTAACGTTGCGAAAGCATCGAAAACGTGATTTTTGAGAGCCAGTCACTCCTTTTTTCCTGTCCGTCTATTTCTTTCCTTCATTTTTTCTCTAGACGTGTTATCTAATACCGTTGCAAGAGTATTGGTCTAAGATTCACATGGGGTACACAAATGTTGCGTCCAGTATTGGTCTGCCGACAGATTGTGATTCAGGTCATGGTGACAGCTTGGAAACACAGACGAAAAATTCAACCAGTGTTCATTTTATTGAATCGAGTTAATATTTAATGCAAAATGTAACTGTCAAACACCTACTTCTCTATTGTGTAATCCCTCTCAGTATTATTTTGATCACTGAAAATGATGTGGACAAAGTTGAATGTTTCCCGTTGTCTTTTTTTCATTTTTTTAAAGATGTTCATTCTGTTACATTACAGTTTGTATTTACTTAATAAACTCATTTCAGTAGTGAATACGTATTAATAATAATATTGCTAGACTTTGTAGAATTGTTTTGGTTGACATAGAGGAGACGTTTAAAGTGATTTTGTTGGTTTGTGTGGGACGTCAATTCCTAAGGGTATGAAGAGTCGTGCAGTGATTTCTGAGATGTCCTTTAGGTATGCAAGGGCGATTTTCTTTGTGCTTTCCTTAGGAGCCTTTGATTTGGTAGGTTGATTTGGGGGGATATGTCTTTTAATGGAGTTCCGTGGATATCCATTCTTTTGGAAGACGTCCATGAGATAACTTTCTTCAATTTTCCTTAAGGTGGGAGTACTGCAATGAGTTCTGGTGCTCTTGATTAGTGTTTGTATACAATTTCTTTTGTGTGTAATTGGATTGCTGCTGTTGTAATTGAGTATTTGGTTCGTGTGAGTTGATTTTCTATAAACTTGAGTTTCTGATTTCCCTGTGGTTGTTCGCTTGACTAAGACGTCCGAAAATGGGATTTTTTGTTCTCGCATTTCTCTTCTCTTGTGAATTTGATGTCGTTGAAGACGTCGCTTATTAAGTTCTTAGTTTCATCTAAACCGCTTCTTTCGATTAATACAAATATGTCATCTACGTAAGGTATCCAAATTTTGGGTTTGATGTTTGGTAGGATTATATTTTCGAGCCTTTGCATCACTGCTTCTCTAACCAAGCCTTATATTGGCGATCCAGTACGGTTCCTTAGACTTGTTCACACATTTGCCCGTTGAAATGGAAGTACGTTGTTAGGCCTGGTATTCCAGTGAATCGTCAATCAATAGTACCACCGGTATAGACAAAATTTACCAATCAGTAAGAAGGAAATCTCACACACAAAAGGTCAAATTTCAAGTCAAGGAAACAATCAGTACCAATACAATTAGCTAAGAGGGTGTGAAAACACACAAAACCACGAATCACATTCAAGGTTAAGTCCCCAAAAAGAGATGAGTTGAAAGCTCGTGGAGAAATATGAAAGCTCACCTCAACAAATTGAAGTATGCGCTGAAGATGTTGCCTAGTGGGGCAACGAAAGCTTCGCAAATAAACTATCCAGCTCAGAGAACACTACATCTAAAACTGTAGAATTTCTATTTTTTTAAACTCACATTCAGATAAACCTCTACAAAATGTAGATTTAATCTTGTACTTATAATGTAGAGGGATTTGATAAAAGTGTACTTGCTTGTGTAACATTCTCATTGTACTTTGGTGGTTCAACTGTAGAATGCTCGACAACTGCTCAAGTGGTCAAGGCTCAATTCTAGACTTCGCCTAGTTTACTGGCTGATTTCAAATGAAAACGTGAAGGAAGGTTAGGCGTGAGGCTAGCAACCCAAACGCGTATAGAAAACAGCACCATTGTTAATGGAACTTCAAAGCTCGAAGCCCTATATTCCATCTGGAACTCAAAGAATTTAGAAAAAAAGACAAATTAGATTAGGATTAAGTGGAAACATTTCATTTAAACCAGTATCTTGTTGACTGTTTACAACCTACATAGAAGGAAAGCAAACGGTGTTATTTCAAGTTTGATCAGGGATTGATTTGGATCAGACAAACATTGAAAACTTGGGGGTACTGGACAACTGTCTCACTCCAGTTTGGAACTTTTCAGAAGTACACGTCTCTTACTCCATCTAGGATTGAGCTCAGGACCTTCAGACTACGAGGTGAAGCTCATCGATAACCCAACCCCTTGGCTCAGAAACAAATGACCCATGAACTCTAACATCATGAGACGTTAATGCTGAGCTATTTGAGCTCGTATTACTGGGTGACCACAGTTTGAATCTCAGAGGAGACATGAGTTCCTTCAAAATTGCAGATACACCTTGCTGACAAGTGTCAACAAGCATGAAACTTAGGTTCAGGATTTCTTGCCGGTTGCTTCCAACCCTCTAATATCTATTCAGAGTGCACCATGATGATGAGTCACCTAGCATGGTGTTCACTTTGCAAAAGTGACTGACACAATTCAGTCTACACTAAACCAAAGCCTAGATGCATGACATACGTTACCACCCAGTGGCCAGTCAAAGTATTTACATATAAACATACATATATATGAAGTGAGTCGAAGTGTGTGTTGAATGTATGAATTGTTGTTGAAATGTATTACTGGTCCCTTGCATTCCAAGTGGAACATAGGGCTTCAGTGGAGCACCTCGATTTCACCCTTCTCTCTGTAGTCATCTTCAGCTGGCTGCAAGATTCCTTTTTGGGTTTCACTTCCTGCCCACACGATTTCCTCCATGTAAACCAGTGACCAATGCCCGAATCAACGGGTCCTATTCGAGTGCATGCTTGGCGTGTGTCGTCCCTCGACATTCTCTTCAGCATATATCCAATCCCTCTTCAATTCTCCCGGAAAGTTTTTTAGGCGATAAGTTCTTCTTTTTTTGTTGTTTGGCCATTTTGGCCATTTAGTCTTTATTATAGAGACAGATAAGACACTTGTTGACGACGGCTAACAGCAAGCTGTTGAGAACGCTTTCGTGAAGTGCACGCTACTCCATTATGGGTAAATTTGGTTTTGATAAAGTCTCACAGTTTTATACAGTAATATTTATTGACGACGTTTCGAGCAAAATTTATTTATTCTTATATCAAAGTGCACGCTACATTGAAGAGGACACATTAACATAGACAAAATCTACCAATCGATACGAAGGAAATCTCATACACAAAAGGTCAATTTCAACTCAAGGAAACAATTAGTACCAATACAAGCAGCCTAGAGTGTGTGAAAATACGCAAAAAACAACGAATCACATTCAAGTTTAAGTCACCAGGAGAGATGATTTTAAAGCCGGCGGAGAAATCTAAAAGTTCACTTGAAGAAAGTGAAGTATGCGCTGAAGATGTTGCCTAGTGGGACAATGAAAGCTTCCTAAATAAACCATCCAACTCAGAGAGCACAACTTCACCAAAATAATTACAGCTTTATTCTACAAAATATTCCAACACATAGTACAGAGTTTTCAGTGTATTTACATTGCAAAATGTCTAGTCTTCTTACAGTGTCTTCAGTCGAGATGGTATTTAGCAGTACATCGTGTGACGCTTTGATGTTCCATCTGAGGCAAAATCCAAACCTCTAGGATGTGTTTCCCTAATTTCTGATTAGAAGTGTTCTGCATTATACAAGAAATTAAAACTATGTTCGAGTTCATGTAGCGATTCAGAAATACAGTTAGATGATTAAAACAACAAGAAATGGAGGAGAATTTATGCAGCATTCTTCCGGATGGATATTTTAGGTAGCCCAGTGACTTAAGCAGATAGCCAGATATAAAGGCAATTATGTTATCCTAATCCTTAATTTTGTCGATGGTTTTTTATTGCCAAAAATGATCAGATCCTGGTTGTCGACTGGTAGGCTTTTGTTCACCCATTACACTTAAACAACTTGAATTTCTTTCTAATGCTAATACATCTAACAAAATGGGCCATTCGACAGGTCATGATAATGCACTACGTAGAGATGAGTATTTTGACACTGCTATAACATATGAATAGTTGATTATTGGTTCTTTACGTGACTCTTTACAAAGGTGGTAAACAGAAGTGAAATTGCTGTCGATTACACTTCTCAATCCTAATTTTATGATCTATTTTAAAGAAAGCAGACATATTTTGATATATCCCAAAATCAGATAAGATAGTTTTTATGGAGACTAAATCATCCTTGTGTCTCTGCCACGTACGTCCTATTCACTGCCTTCATTTAGTGGGGGTGTTCCCTACAAAAGTGAAAAGGCAGATGTCTACCACTGATAACCGGAGTACATAACATCCTAGTGTACCTAAGGGAGATATGAATCCTTGATTCCAAACCTATGGTGCACAAGTTCTCCAGAATCCAAAGGGATTGCCTGGTGTGCGAACCTGTTTTGGTCATCGGTGACCAGTTGATAGTAGCAGCTAACGCTTTTCACCGCCTTGTTATGTAAACTTCAGGTCACTGGCTTCGGTCTAGGCTTTCAGGCAGTATTCCAGTCCTCTGGCAAACGAAGAGAAAATAGTCTCACGAGAGACTATATCAGTCGAAACTCATAGTGCCCATAGCTGACCAAGTTAGCTTCTTTGAATAATAACAATCCCCAAATACTAGTAATGCAATTTCACTGCTTATCCACAGAAGAACAAAATTGTAACTGCTGTGGAAAGGGGAGTATTTGAGATATATTCTATGAAATACTTGAAACAACAGATCAAGAGTTTCCTAGCTATTTGAATATCACCAAAAATTATTGAGGACTGAAATAATTAGATGCAACAAATGTTTTCAATAAACACATTTCAGGCTCTTCAGGCCAGTAAACGTAAATTAGAATTACCTATCAGGGAATGTAGTGTGGAATGGGTAAAAGATGGAAAAATAGACAATTAGTTTTGACTATCATTTAGAATATGTATGGTCAGTAAGAACATAAGGTGAAGTGAAATGAGATAATTCGCTAATGTGTATATCAATATGTTGTCAGCAGAAGTACAAGTTTCAAGGTTAAGTTGAGTCTGTGGTGTGTGAGACACTATGAATACTATAGAGAAATTAACATACACATAGGATAAGCTAGACGTAATTTCAAGGGGTGAAAAACAACAATAATAGTTAATTTTCTACAACTGGTTTGTAAGGATTAGATTTGTATTTTTACGAGTTGATCACGGATTGATATCAGTTAGAGAACCACTGAAAACCCCCAGGGAGTACTGGACAGCTGTTTCATCCTAGTTTGGGAATCATCGGCAGCACGCACCCACTGGGGTTCGAATTCAGCACTTTCCTGTTACAAGGCAAGCTGGCTCGTAAACCATTCAGCCACTGAGACCCGATTCAGTGTCTCATGAATTCTAACTTCTAACAGGATGGAGGTTCCTGGAGTTATAGTGAGAAGTCGTGACCAGTGAG